GAAATCTAAAGTTCTTAAGGATACTCTACAATTGGAAGGTCAAATCACCGATTAATTCAAAAAATACTCTAATGGATTCATTAGGTATGCTTTCATATTAATATGTTTCTTAATTAGTATAAGATTTTTTGCATATTATTATGGATTTAATAAGTTTTATGGAAACAGTCTAAAATCTTGTTTTGGATGTATAAAGCATGTTTGAACCAAAATTCAGTTTTGATTCTATAAAATATTTATTTGATCCATATTTGATATGTTAAAGATCTAACAGAAATCGTTGTTGAAATTCTTGACAATAATGATCGGAGGTACGTAATTTTATTTTCATATTAGTATTTTTCTTGTGTTTCTATTATAATATTGATGCCAATGTTGTATTGAAATAAATGAAGATCATCATAAAAAATTCCTATTTATAGTCTTCAAACCGGTCGAGGAACAAATGCTTGGGAAAAATCACTGCCCTTCCGCATGCTTGGGAACAAATGCTGTGGAGTGCGAAGGCAATGCACTCTCTGCGAAGGTAGACACAGATGAAGAACATGAGCTTGCCGGGGACATGCAGGTGAACAATGGTTAGCTAACAGCAAAGTGGCATTGAATCTTGTCATTTTCTTCTAATTATTGACATTTAATAGGTCCGAGGACTGCCAACTCTATACCTGATTAGCCCAGACCCAAACAAAGATGCCATCCACGCCGAAAGCTCGTGCCACCAGAGATGCTCAAGAACATGGTTGATGATGAAATCATCATTTGGAGATGATCAAGAACAGGCTTGCCTACACCATGGAATCGAAGTTCTGCTCATCCATCCTGTTAAATATGTAATACAGACTCCAATCAAGAACACCGAGTACAACAAGGAATCCTGTTGTTGCGACTTCTTGCAAGCAATGAACAGGTGAGGAGGGTGGAAGGCTTCAACGGATTTGAAGAATGACAATTTTCGTGTATCATCATCATATACCTTAGCTTTCATGTTTTTGGTTATGTTGTAGCAATTGTTTGTATATGTTCTGTTAACATGCAGAGACTATTGACTAGTGAGTCGGTCTGATTGGTTCTTTATCGAAAGTATAAGTACCTTCTAGTGACTCTTCCGTATTGATATGGAGAGTAAGCATTGCGGGCAGGATGAAGGAAGTTATAGTAAGAGGTAGTGTGTTAGGAGCGGGGCGATCTCCTCTACTGGGTAGCTTTCTGGCTACGCCTTCGGACTACGTCGATGACTCTGCATAATAGGCCTACACCAGGGGTGTCCCGGCTCAATCCCTCTGATATTTAAATCAGAAAAGCAGAGGGAGAGGAAGATAATAATATCAGCAATAAGTTAAGAGAGTAAAGAGTCTCTTTTACCTATTTGCCCCAGCTTGGCCCGGGGTATGACTTTTATACCTGGGTGTTGGGTGGAGAAGATGAACCTTCATCAAGGCTCCGCTTACCCCTTGTGATGGAAACATTTAATGCAAGCGGCTTGCCAACGCGTGCTCCCAAGGATAGCATCTAGAGACTATTGAGATGACGCCTCCGATCGAGCTTCCTTGCTACCTCATCGTCAGTGGGGACCCAAGTTTCTGAGCTTTCTCTAGCGCTAGAGCTAGCTCATTAGTGAGCTAGGGAGGCCAAGTCGAGGCTTGAGGAGACTTGGGATGAATTGGCAGTCGTGAAGGATGACGCGATGTGCAGCAACATGGAAGCTAAAGAGCAACTACATGCTCTGTGGCTTGAGCTGAAAGATACCCACCGACAGTTAGGTGACGCCCTTGAGAGGGGGAGGTAGCTAGAGGACCAATTGTTAGCGAACTATGATGAACTAGTGGCCTCCCACATCGAGGCCCAAGAGGCAAGGGAGGCATGGGAAGAAGCAAGGGGCCAAGCCTCGGAGTGGGAGAGGGGAGTTGTGGCCATGTATAAGGAGTCCGAGGGGTTCCAATGTAGCCTCCGACAATTGGCTTAGGTCGCCTATGAGTTCAGGTACCACATTACTATAGATCGCTTCAAGGTGAGGTACTTGAGGATGGAGGTCGACAAGGATCCCTTCATCGAGCATCTCACATATGCTAACATGATGGCTCTGACGAAGGTTCTCTTCGATGATCGCCCCGTGACCCCTCTTCTCGCTTTGTCTCCTCCTTTGTGATGCCCATAGGGCTCTATACTCCCAACAATCAATGAAAATTTTATTTTCCTTACGATAAGAGTCTTTTCTTGTGAATCATTTCTAAAAGTTTCCTTGGGGGCTATGGACAACTGACTCAAGTGGGGCCTCATGACACTAGGGTCACCCTTGTTCTCCCTTTCTAATCACTAAGGTCTTTTGTGGATGGGTCATCTCCCTTTCCTCAATGGTTTTGTGGTGAGGGGACTCTTGGGATTTCGATGGTTTTTCTTTCTTCTTGGGAAGCAAAACCTTCATTAGATAGTAGTGTCTAGATTCTCAAGCCCCATACTTCACCAACGCTATCCCGGGTGAGGAACTTGATCACCATATGATATGTGGAGACCATGGCCTTCAATCAATTGAGGTGAGGGTGACCGATGATGGCATTATATGCAGAAGGTCCACCATGACGAACTTGGTTTGTAGCATCTTAGATCAGGGCACCGCACGAAAGGTGATGCAGAGGGTGACTATGCCCGGGGGGAGATGGGGTCTCTTGTGAATCCTGATGGTGAGGACGTTATCGAAGAGAGGTGATTCATGGCTAATTCTAGCTTCTAAAAGGCATGGAGGTTTAGCACGTCAACAGAGCTGTCGATGTCAATCATTACCCTTTTGACAAGGGCGTTGGCCATCCGGACAGAGATAACCAAAGCATCGTCATTAGTGGGTTCTAGGTGGCACACATCTTCTTTGAAGACAATCCTAGGCCCTTCTTTAATCCTTGGGGTTTTTCCTGAGGAGGCCTGGGCATAAGCTTTCTGACTTGAGGAGCTTTCGCCTTTGGAAGCATGCCCTTCGAAGATGACGTCAATATGCTTTTCCATGAATCCTTGGGGGCGGGGCGAGCACTCCTAGGGTTGTCCCAAGTGCCTTATCAGGTGACCCTTCCTGATGAGCTTCTCAATCTAGTACCTCATATCCTGATACTCTTTTGTGTCATGTCCATAATCCCGATGAAAATGATAGTACTTGGATTTATTCCTCTACTTTGGAAACCCTTTCATGGGTTTGGGCTCCTTTAGAAGGCCTTTCTCCTTTATTTAGAGAAAAATCTGTCCTTGTCGTGTTGTGAGGGAGCAGCCCCATTCTCTCCTGTTGATTGTCTATTTAGGTGTTACTTACATGGCGATCCTTCATTTAGGTGCTAGGATTCATCCCTATCACCTTCTCAAAAGGCCATTTCAATCACTTATCCTTGCGACACATCTTTAGGACTGGTTAAATTGCTTTTCCTGCAAACCTGCCTCGGCTAATGAAGCCATTGCTGAGCTTGTCTTCCTTATCTGGAGTGGCTATTGAAGCCAGCGAAGCAGACGTTTGTTTTCCTCATCTTGGAGGGATCATTCTACACCTGCATTCAGCAGAATGATCCCTCTTGTCTACCAAGGAGTAATCTTTTAGATGCCACAAAATGTGCAGATAAGCTGAATGTCTCCAAAAATTTATAGCGGGAATTGTAGCATGAACAGTACTCCAAGATGCTGCTAAAATGCGAAAAGGTTCGAGTTTGAAGTGCAAATTTACTTCACCAGTGTTGGTGGACTCCAACTCCTCCAAGATAAGATTCCGAGGAACATTAGCACAGCAAGTGTTTGAGAATAAAGCTGCTTTGTATCTCTTTTCCTGAGAGGCAAAAGCTTCCTAGTCCACATTCCAACTCTTGGTAATCATCAAAAGGAACTCAGTGACATCCCCTCTGACACTTGATGGCATGCACCTTGGCATCTGAACTGCTTCCTGAGGACATTGCACACCGGTGGAGGCAACAAAGAGGTCACTCCTGATCTAAATCTGCCCTGTGATATAGGTGTCAGGGAACATGGAAACCTTAAATGTTTTGAACTTTCAGCTCCATATTTGAAGAGGATTTTGATCTGTGTGCATGTTTTGAACTTTCAGCTTCGGCCGGACAAAGCCTCTCTGGTGATGGATTCTTAATTAATACGAAGAGAAAAGGCGAACATGAAGCATATAATGATTCGCAGATCCACTTCACCTTCCTCTCCTCCTTTTTGGAGCAAAACAGCAGACTACTCCCATGGTTTTCCGAAGAGAACAATTGGATCCTCAAAACGAACTACATCCAGAAAAAGCCGTGCTAATTCATGGTTGTTAAGAAAGGAACCCAAGTCATCATTATGCTTTAGATTAACTCTGCCCTCTGCGGTGGCCTATCAATTTATGATAAGCTCAAGAACACCCTTTTTCTACTAGTTCGGTCGGAGAACTTCTCAACGGCGGCAGACAGGTTTTCTCCCTGTGACTGATGATCTCAGGTCGGAGAAGAAGCAGTGTGGTTTCCAAGGTGGAATCTGAGGCACTGTGGGTTGTCGACTTGTAGCGGTGTGCTTTGTTTTGGAGTGGTAAGGCTGACTTTGTTCAGACTGAGAAGGATCAATACGATAAAAGATTTGTGGAAGCTGCTCTCTTGTGGTCCACAGGCTAATCTAGTGTTTCAGGTGGCCATGTCGGTCTCCATGCTCTTCCATTTGGTGCCTTCTCTTGTTAATCACATGATCATCATCAACTTTTCTAGAAGAAGAAGAAGAATTGTGTCTCAATTTGGCATTTGAAGCAGTCAAAAAAATTGTTCTTCCTTATTATCAAATTCTGGCCATTCATTTTGAAACATAACTCACAAGCACAAGTGTTTTATCTGATGAAAAGAATAGAAGATAAAAATAATTATTGAAGAAGCTTTATTGAAATAACTTTAGATTGAATACAGTAACATGTCCCTCTCCTATTTATATAGATTATGAGAGACGATTTTCCTCAACAGAATAGAGAAAATCTTCTATTCTTTTCGAAAATCTTATCTTCTATCATTATCTACCTACAGTTCATCCGAAGGATTCATTTTAAGTCTCCCCACTATCTAACCTTCCATGAGGAAAACTCTAGCTGTGGGGGACTTCGGAACATGGGGTGCTCTAAAAAGAGTTGTGTCTATAGCTCCCAGGGCACAGCATCCATGTCCTGCCCAGCCACAAGAATGGAGCACCCACCACATATTGGCATCACCACAGTGTCAGACTCTTATGATGCAACCGGTTAGCTATCATGCTCCCTGAGCACTACAAGCTACTGTGGAATGCAAGAAGAGGAGAGGACAACACACCATTTGGATCCATGCGACTCATCCCTGTCGATTCTGTGCAACCTATAATGGATCTCAGGGAACAACGACAAACTCCTCTTTTGCTTTGGTGCTCCCAGCTGCAACTCCACAAACCTCACCACTGTACCAAAAGCTGACACGGCTGGGGCTAAAGCCTCTCTCATTCCAGTCCCCACGCACAGACTTTCTTACTATATGCGCACAAGCTGTTCATACTCTGACCACCCAACCCCATCCCATCCCTCTAGGTTTCCCATTTTTGAGAGATGCCTTGTTTTGTTCTTCTTCAAGCTGGCTTGGCATGTAGATTGCAGTTGCTTGCAGAGAACAAGTGACTACTACTCTTTGTATGCTTCGGATGTTACGAACATAGAGGCTTGAGAATGTATCTGAAGGGAGGCATTTCTTCTTCTCTGGGAGAGCTATGAGAGGTCTGAAATGGCCAGTGTTTGTTAGTTTGAGGAAGGAAGAAGGTAAAGAGGGTCGTAGCTCTCTTTGCAGTACATTCCCATTCGACTGATCTGTCCTTCTTTCCTAAGAGCATAGTGCATGTTCCCCCACATTACTTTATCTAGAGAGAGAGAGAGAGAGAGAGAGAGAGAGACTCACCGTTTTCAGGAGTGTTGTTAGCCTGTGGAGGAGCTTGCAATTGTGATGATACTTGAGAATTTTGTGGCTGCTTCCCTTCTTCTTCTTCTTCCTCTTCTTCTTCCATGTGTGGGCTCACTGCGAGACACGCCTAGATTGGTCCAAAGCCGCAGGAACGGCCAGCCGCCGAATCCTCTACAGGTATGCCATGGTAGTAATCTACTTTTGTTTCAGCAACGCAAGAGATACAAAGAAAGCTAACCTTCTCTTAGCCGTTGATGGTTCATCTCCTTACTGGACTCATAAAACCACTCGAGATCATCCCATCCTGAGACTCACATGATTGTGCAGCTGACACCCCAACTCTCAACCCAGATCACTGTTCATGCATTCCTGCTCTGGGTTTCGGTTGGCTTCCTGATGCCGGTTGGCATTATCATCATCAGAGTGTCCCACCGAGTCCACTGCATCACAAAGCTCAAGGCTCTGTTCTACGCCCATGTCATCGTTCAGGTCAGCAAACTCTTTCTTCTACATGCTGAATTCCCGACACAGCTACCAGCAGCCGTAAGTAATAAAACGTCGATAATACGAACCGGCAGACCGTGGCGATCCTGCTTGCAACTGCTGCCGCGGTTCTATCGGTAATCAACTTCGAGAACTCCTTCAGCAACACCCATCAGAGGTTAGGAGCAGCACTGTACGCGCTCATTTGGATTCAACCAGTGGTTGCCTTTCTCAGGCCTCACAGGTATGACATGCAATTGAGGACTGTTCTTGCTCCACGTGCAAGCTTGGGAGACTCGTACCCAAATCCATCCTGCTGTATTCGTCTCAGGGGAACGAAGCTTAGGGGGGTGTGGTACCTGCTGCACTGGCTGCTCGGGACCGGAGTCTGCGTGCTGGGCGTCGCCAACGTCTACATCGGTCTGCACACGTACCGAGAGAGAAGCTCGAGAAGTGTGAGCCTGTGGGCGTCTCTACTCACGGCGGCGGTGTCGATCGTTGCCGTCGTCTATCTCTTGCAAGACAAATGGGAGTATCTGATGAAGCAAGCAAGGGTGGGAGATGAGCAGGTCACACCATCTCCTCTCGGTGGCAGCCACAAGGAGTCAGAAATGGTGTCGTAGATTTTGCTTCCTTCTCTAAAATTTACGATGCCTTTAGATCCTTTTAATTGAAATCTACTCTAGATTGTAAACCAAGTCCTCTCTCTCTCTCTCTCTCTCTCTCTCTATATATATATATATATATATATATATATATATATATAGTGAGAATGATGTGCACCTCATAGATCATAACCAAGTTGGCAGATCTCCAAGCCAAACTCTGCAAACCGTTCTCATCTTCAAACAATCTTTTTCTTGTTCTTTGAAAGTCAAGGAGAGGAGAACAAAAAACAACAACAATTATTTGAGGTTTCCTCTGACTTTTTACTCTTCCTGCAGAATCAATTATGGATGCCATGCTTCTTTTACAAGCAGAAGTGAGAGATACCAAAAGCAGGAAGGTGAATTAGTAGTGGAATTACAGCTGCAAAGACGATAGTAGGACAAAGGCATCAGAGTATCATATAACAACATCAGGTCAAAAAGAAGGATACAATTGAGCACCACAAGCATTTATTGCCGTGGACCTTTCTGATTATGTACAGTTGACTCTGGAGAATCTACTGTTCATCGTCCCCCTATCATTGGATAGGCAGTTTTGCCATACCTTGGAAACATTTCATTCGGCCTTCCCAACTCAGTGATAGATGGCTTAGGCCCAAGAACAAGCAGTGTAAGCTTGAATTGTTATCCTTTGCTCGCTAACTAACAGCAGGGTGAATGGAATTGTTGCTGTTTATGCTCCGAGAGTGCACCAGCATACTTCTTATATTGGGCTTGATTTCAGACCCTGCAATGGCAAGTGCGAAGATTTTGAGGTATTCCAAAGTTAAATATGAGCAATTGACATTTTGCTCAATAGAAGAAAGAAACCTTACTTTGGTATTTCAGATTTCAGAATACACTAGATTAACTAAAAATAGGGTGTTAAGGAGAAAAAAAAAAGAAAGAAAAAGGAAAACAGTGGCTGACCGCAAATATGAAAAGAAAATGAATTATTTTGACTGCCATCAACATTAGATGCCATGCTAAAAGTTGCAACCAAGTCTAGTTTGTGTGTCATACTTAGATGCATGGCAAGTAATTGTACATCTAACCATGTGAGGCTACCCAATTTTAGGAGTTTTCAGCATAGTTAGATTTCGTCATCTTTATTGAGGTGAAAAATGTAGGTGATCCCCACGGCAAACAACAAAAGATAGTCACAGCTAACTCAAATTAGTGAAAAATTCAGATCAAAAGTAAAAGCAAAAACAAAAATAATAAATAGAAAAGGCCCATACGATTTTGAATGCACCTTATTCTGTGAGGATGTTACCGTAGCCCTCCATTGTGGATTTTGAGTAGTTCTTTCACTGATAAAATTTACGACCGTAGGCCGTGCTGGTCTATGACTATCAGCCACAAGCCGAGGAGGCATTTCTCTCATAACCCACAAGACAAATCCGGATGGTACTGATGAACCTGAGAATACTTGTGTAAGGTGAGCTTTTCAGGATTAGTATGACTAGACAAAAGCAGATAAGCAGATGGAACTTGCAAGATGCTAGAGTTCAACAAGGTAATCGGCCTAGCTTCCACAAACCTTTTGACAAAATCATGCATGCACACTAGTCTACTTGAAAGATATGAATGGTATGTCACAAAAAGGACACGTGGAGTACATGTGCTTGTTTAACTACTAATTTAATTTTGTATGTAAATCATAAACATTCAGGCATACCTATAAAATAATACAGAAATATAAGAACTGAACTGCTTATGTGGTCTGATTGTGCTGCATGCCAATAAAAAAGCACCTCCAGCTGCAAAGAAACATGGAAATCTTAAGATGTAACTTGAGTTCACTCGATGTTGCACAAAAACTGTAAGTCAGCAAGAAGCAGCAACATACAGGAATATTAGTAACAAGAGCTAGCACAGCAGATGATGTGAAACATGTAACAGAGACAGCAGCCAAACTTGCAACCTGCACATGGCACCAAATCAGGGAAATTCTCAGCAGCTCACAAAGAATGCAACAACTAGTACAATCTAAGCACAAAACAAAAACTTACTGCAAAACGGCAATGTTATGAAAGTATTGAAGCTCAGTGAAATATGTTTTGACAAATCAATTTTTGTTGGAATTATCATTTTATATTTTCCTTTTTGGAATCTAGAAAAGATGAAAATTAACTTAATACCAAGACAAATCTAGCAACAAGTGGGCTCACCGACATGCATACCGAACACATAGGAAACAAATGAGAAACCATCATCAAGTAATCTCTTGAGATGTAATACAAGCTAAGCAAAGAAAACTACATATATCATGTTGTCATTCAATATCTTTGCAAGGCCAACCAATTAAAATCTAAGTACTTTTGCTAGAGAAATTTGACTCCCAGAATGTGTCTGACATTTGATGCTAAAGGATGAAGCAATTCTGTCATCTAAATTCACTATTCAAAGATATAAAAAAACAAATTACCATGTAGCCATAAAGGAGTCAAAGAACTCAATAAACATAAACCAAGCAAATGTACTCAATATTTATTTTTTATAACATATATACCTTCCACATATCATTTGAAGCCATTTCAGATCGTACTTTGCTCATTTTTGAGAACAACAGCACCCCTCAACATGATTAAGAAACAAAAAAGGTAATTCAGACTTTAAGGGCTACAATTAACAGAATGTAAAGCATTGGAGTAATGAAGAGAAAACCTAAATCTATAACAGGACAATATATCTTTCAATGAAAAAGATTTTGACATATTATTTGCCATTGACATCATTATACAAGATGGCTTGCACTACACCCATTATAAACAAAAAGTATAAACCAAACCAAGAGTGTAGAGAATAAGTTTTTCATAAATAAAATTTTACTGTAAACACAAATGGCTAAGCTGAACTACCAAACTGTGTGATTGCAAGTAATAACAGGGTTCATGAAGGTACTCTTCTGGCAAGTCATATCCACTGTCCACAAATGGTTGACATGTATAACTGATCTTATTTGATTAATGTCTAGCAGATGCTCCGATAGAACCCTAGAGGAATTTTATGTAGATTGATCTTTGAGGGGGATCAACCCTTGGAACGCTATAGGGGTTCCACCCTCCTAGAAGTCGGTCAAATGGCTGCAATTATAGATAGATCTTGTTCCCAAAGAGATGAGGCTACATGCTTATATAGGGCTCCAAACCCTAGCCCTAGGGGTTGTTTCCTAAGTGAGTTACCCCTTTTGCCCTCAACCCTAGTCGACCGGCCCAGTAAAGGGGGGGCGATGGCTAGGAAGCCCAAAGGCGCAAATATAAACCCTAGCTACTCTCCTTTATAGGATAGAGACGACTAGGTGGGGTTTATTACAATCTCACAGGGTTTTTATTAGCTGCTTCTTGGTTGAGTAGGACCCAACCCTACTAAGGTCCTATCAAGCCCGTCCTCTCAAAATCAACCTTGTCCTCAAAGCTGAGGTTCCATGAACTCAGGGAACCGGGTCTTCAGCTCCTCATATGATTCTCATATGGCATCTTCGAGTAATAAATTATTCCAATGCACTAGTACTTCAGTAGAGGGACGTCGACGACGCATCATGATTCTACGGTCGAGGATGACTTGTGGTTAGGCTTAAATATCTCCATCATCAGTGGTGTTTGGCAGTTGGATCTGGGGTAACTCGTGTTCAAGCATGACACGTGGAAGAAAAGGTGAATTTTGGCATCCTCAAGCAATTTAAGTTTGTACGCCACGACTCCAGTATGCTCTGTGATTTGATAGGGCCCATAAAAACATGGGGATAGCTTCATGGAGGCTCATGTGTTGATGGAGAGTTGCTTGTATGGCTGTAGGCAAAGATAGACCCAATCTCCTACTGAAAACTCTCTTTCGCTTCATCGTGTGTCGGCTTACTGCTTCATTCTAGCTTGAGCGGTAGAGAGATTATCCTTTAGCAGCTGTAGGAGTTTGTCCCTGTCAATTAAATCTTGGTCGACCTAATCTACCTTGGCCGAGCTAATTACATACTTTGAAATCACAAGGGTCGGCCAACCATACAGTGCTTCATATGGGGCACATTTTGTAGATGAATAATATGTAGTATTATACCACCATTCGGCCCAAGGAAGCCATTTCGCCCACTCCTTTGGTCGGTCACTAGCGAAACACCGAAGGTATGTCTCTAAACACATGTTCACCACCTCTGTTTGGCCGTCAATTTGTGGATGATATGTTGTGCTCATCTTGAGTTTGGTGCATTGTAACTGAAATAACTCGATCCAAAATTTACTGGTGAAGATCCTGTCACAATCACTTATAATGGACCTTGGCATCCCATGCAGTTTAACAATATTTTCTATGAAAATCTAAGCAATACTAGCAGCAATGTAGGGATTTCGCACAGCACAAAAATGAGCATATTTCGTAAGTCAATCAACCACCACGAGGATTGTGTTTTTACCTTTGGAAGATGGCAACCCTTTGATAAAGTCCATGGATATGTCAGTCCACATCGAGTCCAGTATGGATAGTGGTTGTAGCTTCCTTGGACTCACCACTGTTTCACCCTTTTGTTGTTGACATACATCACATTGTGCCACATAATCAAAAATAATTTTTTTCATCACTTTCCAATAAAAATTTTGCTTCACTCTTTTGTAGGTTCTTAGAAATCCGAAGTGCCCTACTGAAGATGTGGAGTGTATTTCGTACAGGATGATTTTGATGCAAGGGGAGTCGGGTACAAGCACAATGCGACCTTTGTAACGTAGATCCCTCGAATCTTAAGTATAGTGGGCGATCCTTCTTCCATTCCTCCCTAATGTCCTCGAAGAAGCTAGTGGTAGGAAGGGAGATGGCTGAAAATTCAGTTTGCTCAAGTAGCCGTGAGAGTGCATCTACAATAACGTTTTCATTCCCTTTTTTGTAAATAATTTCATAATAGGTACTTGAGATTTGGTTACCCATTTTTGCTGAGTGCATCTACATAATAGGATTTCAAATTAAATCCTAGAAGTTTGGTTACCCATTTTTGCTGCTCAGGTGATGATATCTTCTGCTCCAAAAGGTACTTGAGGCTTCTATGGTCGGTTTTAATTTAAAATCGCCGGCAGATCAGGTAGGGTCTCCACCTCGTTACTGCGTGCACAAAGGCGAGCATCTCCTTATCATATATTGACATTTTTTATGGGAGGGAGACAACACCTTGCTGGTGTATACAAGTGGTCGACCATCTTGCATGAGAACGGCTCCAATCCCAACTCCAGATGCATCGGCCTCAATGATGAAGGGTCGGCTGAAATTTGATAGCGCTAGCACCGGCGTCGTCGTCATGGCTACCTTAAGTTTGTCTAAGGCAGTAGAGGCTTTATCCGACCATTGGAAGGAGTCTTTTTTCAGTGGAGAAGTGAAGGGTGCACTGATCTTCTCATAGTCCTTCATAAATTTTCGGTAGTAACCCGTTATTCCAAAGAACCCGTGCAGTAATTTCACGTTTGTAGGTTTCGGACAGCCTTGCATTGCTTCGATTTTTGTTGGGTCTACCGCTACTTCTGATATTATGTGCCCAAGGTACTCTAATTTTTGCTGGAGAAAGCTGCACTTTGATTACTTAACGAAAAGAATATTCTCCTGAAGGATCGTCAAAACAACCCGTAAATGCCGAAAGTGAGTCTCAAAAGAAGGGTTATAAATGAGAATATCATCGAAAAATACCAGCACGAATTTGCGATGAAAGCTCCGAAAAATATCATTTATGAGACTTTAGGAAGTTGAAGGAGCATTAGTGACTCCAAAAGGCATTACCAAGAATTCATAATGGTTGTTATGTGTGCGGAATGCAATTTTGGAATGTCGTCTTCATATACCCGAATTTGATGGTAATCGGATCGGAGATCCAACTTCGTGAAGACTCTAGCTCCTTTTAACTCGTCAAGAAGTTCATCCACGATATTAGGTACTTGTCCTTGATGGTGATGTCATTTAAAGCTTGGTAGTCGATGTACATCCACCAAGTTCTGTCCTTCTTACGTACAAGTAGCACCGGTGAGGAATAGGGGCTGCAACTTGGCCGAATCACCCCTGTTTCGAGCATCTCCTTTACAATATTTTCAATTTCATCCTTCTTGAGGTGAGGATAATGGTACGACCGAGTGTTTGCTGGTGGTTTGCCCGGAAGAATTGGAATCTGATGGCCATGTTGCTGAGTAGGAGGAAGACCGCGAGGTTCAACAAAAATGTCAACAAATTCAGCAAGCAATTGGCCAAGATTTTGATCTTCAATTTATATTTTCTTCCCCTCTAGTTGTCACTGGAGATGCATCAAAATGTCACCATTTACCTTGTGTAGAACTTTCTCCATTCGTTGGGTCGAAACGGTGGTTACATTCCTTCCGCGCTTCCCGCATAGGATAATATGTTTGCCTTTGCAGTATAATTTCATAATTAATTTGGAAAAGTTCCAAGAGACATCACCTAGCGTTGCCAGCCATTCTATGTCAAGCACGACCTCATAATCATCAATTGGTAGGAGGAAGAAGTCGAAGACAATTTCTTGGTCTTATAGTAATAGTTTCACCAGCGGGCATATTTGATCGCACTTTAGGATTCTGCCGTCAATGACCTTTACGTCGAACTTGTTGCAACCTTCGATGTGGAGCGCCATCTGAGCAGCAACCTTACTGTTTATGAAGTTATTAGTGCTGCCCGTGTCGATGAGAACAGTGATCGATTGTTGTTTGAGAAGGCCTCCAACTTTCATCGTTTGCGAGTTTGAGTAGCCAGCTAGCGCGTGTACCATAAAGTCGATCGATTGTGGCTCTTCTTACGCATCTTCTTCTTTATGTTCAAGGCTCTCTTTTGGATGTTCAATGACCTCTTCTTCTACTGGTTCAATCACAAGAAGTCTCCCTTTTTAACAACAATGCTCGCGGCTCCACGGCTCGTCGCAATGCCAACATAACCCCATCGCAGATCGCTCCCGAAGCTCTTCTCTTATCAACTTTTTTGGTGCAGGGGCTCGGTTGACAATAGGGGGGGCTGAGGGCTTCAGTATTGCTGGTCGAGGAGTGACCCTAGTCCTCCGGGTTATATGGTTCAATCACTCATCTTGAAATCGTGCAAAAGTGATGGCTGCCATAAGCGTGTACGGTTGTCGCGCTTTAACTTCTCCCTAGATCTCCGGCTTTAAGCCCTCAATAAAGGTTCCCAATAGTTGTTTTTCAGACCAATCACGAGTTTGATTAGATAACCTTTCAAACTTGGTTTGGTACTCCTGAATGGTGGAGGTTTGTCGGATCTTTACTAGTTGTCCGTCAATGTTCTCGTAATCGGTTGGTCCGAAGCGGATCAGCACTCCTTCTTTGAATTGTCGCCATAAGAGGACTCAATAAGTGTGTTCAAACCAATCAAACCATTATATGGCATCCCCTTAAAGATGTATAGCCGCAATTTCCACCATAGATGCGTCCATGGTTTTATGGTACTGAAAATATCGTTCCGCGCGCGAGATCCAACCAATCGGGTCTCCTTCTTCCTATCTAGGGAAGTCCACCCTTATGCGTGGATAATAGGGATCGATCACAGAGCCTCCCCTCTCCTGGAAGTCATATCTTCGGTCAGAGCTCACTCCTTGATGTGATTTCTTCAGGCTCGGTGGTTGGCCCAAATTGAGTTTGGTAAAGAGAGTCTGAATCTTATCCTTCATTCGCGTCTCGAAAGCTTCAAATTTAGCATTGATTGTCTCCTCAGATGTCATAGTATATGCCTCCAAATTTGTAACGTTAAGATCTCTCTTTTGTTGTCGGGTTAGAGGCATGTATCAGTTGAGAGAAGTGGTGGCCGAAAGGGTTGGTGGATTGGTGTATGTAAGAGTAGAATTGTCATCGAAGAAACAACGGTTTCACAACGAAATTTTCAGCTAAAATTGAGAGATTTGAGGAGGGAATTTAACAACAAAATCTCAATTTAGATAACAACAATGATGACAAATTTGATCAAGAAGATTTTGGCAGTATAACAGCAAGGAAATCGGTGCAAGTTGCGATAGCAAAATTCTTGTTGAAAAATTCCAACGGTTTGCAACGAAAATTTGCAACAATACAAGAACGTTTTAGAGATGAATTCCTCAATAGATCACTCTTAGATGAAAGCCAAGACGATCTATGAAGCGTATAAGAAATTTCGTTCAAAAAGGATAGCAAATAGATCGGTTAAAGGCAACAATATGCGACTAAAATTTTCTGCAGCAATCCTTCGTTCACAAAGATGATAACTTTTACGACGAAAGGAATTCGCAGCACGGGATAGATAAAAAGACTTCTTGGTATTTTGAATGGAAAATTACAACAACAAAAGTTATTGGTGATAGGAGAATAACACATCTCTGATGCAATTGGAGGTGACGGCAGTAGATTGATTTGATCTACAGCAGAAGATGATGATGGAGATGACGACGTCAAGAGCAATTGTGGGAATTGCTTGGCTGGTAGTGGGCGGCAGGGTTGGCAGCAAAAGCAACAAGATCGCTACTCTGATACCAGATGATAGAACCCCAGAGGAATTATATGTAGATTGATCTTTGAGGGGGATCAACCCTTGAAACGGTATAGGGGTTCCACCCTCCTAGAAGTCAGCCAAATGGCTGCAATTGTAGATAAATCTTGTTCCCAAAGAGATGGAGGCTACATGCTTATATAGGGCTCCAAACCCTAGCCCTAGGGGCTGCTTCCTAAGTGAGTTACCCCTTTTACCCTCAATCCTAGTCGACCAGCCCAGTAAAAGGGGGGCGGTGGCTAGGAAGCCCAAAGGCCCAAAATAAACCCTAGCCACTCTTCTTTATAGGATAGAGGCGGCTAGGTGGGGTTTATTACAATCTCACAGGGTTTTTATTAGCTGCTTCTTAGTTGAGTAGGACCCAACCCTGCTAGGGTCCTATCATGCTCTCCTTTAAAAACTTGTCACACGTACAATGTGTGACATTATAATAATATATGAAGAATTTGCTCAAGTCAAGTGCACATACCCCTGCACTTTGTGCCATCTGAAACAATCTGTCACTAGACAGATTTATTACTTTCTTTAACAAGATAAATTATAATTAAAATTGCCTAATTACGAGGTGGTGACATCCAGAAGATGTGGCTGTCAACAGAAACAGCTGGCATCACTCGGTGTTTGGCCAGAGAGACTACACAGATTTTCCACTTTCTTGACCAGAGTAAATTTCAAAATAACAAGCTCACCTTGTCTCTTACAGGATAACTGCACCCAAATAATCTGACCACTCATGACTGATTCCAGCTTAGAAATTTGTCAGAAACTAAGGCATTACTATTAGGGCCAGGAAAACATTCAATTTTACTTCAGTTCATAGGTCCCAATTTACAGGCCAATATTGTAAAGAATGAATGCAATTTTCAGTTCTGTCCAGTGAAAGAAATCCAGCATTGGAGATGTTTTGTTTGCTAGAAATCGATAGGAAAAGATGAGTACAACTTAGGTCTATCATTTTCTGCTATGGTGAACTTTCTCACTAAGACATTAAACATGATGAATCTAGACACATCCTTGGACTCTATACCTTTTTCCTAGTAGAACTCCAAAAAAAATTGTCACTTTACAACTTTTTCTAACGACAACTTCTCTAACGATGAAATAAAAAATCAGAACAAAATACCAAAAGCTTAGAAAAATGACTTGGATCTGTTCAACTTGCCACTACTCAACATAGGCTTGACTCACTCAAACCCTTTGAGTTGAATTGCATAAAAAAAAACTATATTTATCTTCACAATTTAGTAATCTTTAAAAGAAAGTTTTAGCAAGCTAATTTACTATACAGGTGACAAGCATGTACCTTGAGTTTGGATCTCATTTATGTTCTGGATGATGAAGAATGCAACTATAGGCACCATTCCCTCTAACTGTTTTCTTATTAGTAATGTTGATAATGCCTTACGGCTTTGTTGTTATTGGTGATGGCATGGATAATGGATGCAGCTCATACATATACATGAGATGTGTTTCATAACTTTCGAGATATTAAAAGAGCCTGGTCTAACCTAATTGGTTAAACTAGTCAATAGTTAACATATCAAACGATGCTTACCATAGCATGCTAAAGCACCACCTAGTAGGAGTATAGCTACAGAAAAAATATCCAAAGAAACCTGCAAATGAAAAACAGAAAAAAAAATATATTTTATATATTTCCATGTAAAGCAAACCCAAGAGGGACTGGAAATTCATCAGATCATGCTGGTGAACAGCATTAAACTTAACAAACTAGTGAGAACTATAATATGAATAAGAGAAATGAAAATAGTAGGTTGTGTTGGCACTTCTTTTCCATTCATGTACCAAGTTATCAGACACAATGTTGAATGAGATATCCAATCCATCTACTCAAGATTGAGCATAACTTGTTGAAATTTCTTGTGGACCTTTCAGGATACATTATCAGTGCTAAGATATTTTAAATTTAGACACAAACCCAAAGACTTATAAAGTTATATGTATATTCATAGACATGAACATACAAAAACTGTGTTTACTATGATATACACATATATCTGAAGCAGGGACACAAGCCATGCAACAAGGACACATGACCTATCCAAAGGTTACCCTAGATCATAAGTCTGGTAAAAGATACATCCATGCCTACCAAGACCACATCTAGCTAATTGAGGGGCATTCACATAGCCCGCGGAGCCGGATCTACATTCAACATAGAAAGTGCAAGTGTCATACTGCACGTACTATCGTGCAAACTGGGGAACTACACTAGATACTCTTACTTGAGGCAGAACATATCTCCCAGCTAACCTAAACTTGGTGATCCAATTTCCACTTAATTGAGGACTTGTGGTATGGTAAGAAGTAAAATCTACCCTCCAAGAGGATACAAAGAATGATCAAGTACAACAAAACAAAGAAAGTTCTCCAGCAAAGCATAAAGCACATCTCCCATTAGTAGTTAATGCTCCAAAAAGTATCTCATAAAGCACATCTCCTATTAGTAGATAGAAGTATCTCATAAAATAGATCAAGCAAAGATGGTTGAGGGTCCTTAAGATATCAGTCAACTATGCAAATCACATGAGAGGAACAATGAGTGCTCTTAATCCTTGGTGAGCTCAGACCCCAGATATTGACATATTGCAGAATTTGTCCTATCTTCAATGCACCCAAATTTCCTCACAGAAAAAAACTTCAAATTTTATTAGGTCTGCCCATAGCAGATATATTTCAAATGAGGCAAAGAAGAGATCAACTCAAAGCTTGTTACAAACACAGTTTTCAGAGAGAAGCTAATTCTCTTTGATAAGCCAGTTTCCACACGCTCCACGCTCTAGTGCATAAGGTCAGGAAAAGTTGGTACAATAAACAGTATGTTTTTGGCAACTAGGTTTTTAATTTATTCCGGGTATTTTGAGAGTAGGGTCCCAGATGTAGTTGACGTTATGCCTAGCATTAACTGTTGTTCTACAAAATAATTGAATTTAACTAATGACAGCTGAAAGTCCCAAATTATCCTTATTTTGGTGGCATATTAATCATGAGATATGAAGACAAGGTGATAAGAAAAGATAATAACAATTGGAGATAACTCGAGATAGTTGGATTTGGTCCAAAAATTAAGCGATAAAGAATGTCCGAAAAGTCGGTAAAGCCAATTACATACCCAAGCCACAAGAGAAGAATCGATAGGAGTTTTTCCTCTACCAATCCATATCAGGATGGAAAAAGAAATCACCGAAACAAATGTCAGGACAATCACCTGCAAAAATAAGGTGTGACATCCATTTATTTCGTTAGTGTGATATTATGTTATCAAACTTCAGAATGTTTCAGAAGAAAAACCAGAATATTTCCAAGGAATCTATAAAATTTACTCCAATAAACATGTGAAGATATGATTAGTTGGCATGCCCAACATTCAATTACCAAGATTACAAACTTTTGTCGACTTCCAATATGAATGGTTCGAGGAAAGCAACATTTCATATGGCCATCAACATGTGGTGAACCTTGTTTGCTCTTTGACTTTTCCAATAAAGCTTCATTATATCCATGTTCATCATCATCTTCTTCATCATCGTTTGCCTGATGGCATAGGTCAATCCTGTAAAAGCAATTTTTCAAAAACACTTACCAAACTATAATCTTACAGATTCTCCTTTTTTACTTTTTACAAGAATGCAAACATAGTTTACAAATGGACTTCCTATGAGTTCCTCCAAACCTAGACGAAGCTTACAGATGGACTTTATGTAAGTTGCTCCATAGTATAATTTTTAGAAGGCAGCTAAAACATAGGTAGCCAAGGTCTAAAAGTGTATAGCTGACACTACTTAAATAGAGATTTCTGTGGATTATATCCTTAAAACAATTTTTAATTAAATTCATTAGTAGACAGATACAACTAGCATTTCACAGGAAGACGGTAAAAATTTAGGAAACATTAGACAGATCCAAGGGCCATATATTAATGTACTTAACAAGGTATATCTTATGTGGGTAAAATAAATTAACGAAAAAAAATATTTTTTACTTTGTATACAGCCTAAATCAATATCATTTGCCATACAACAAATGCATAAATCAATAAAAAAGATTAGTTGGGATAAGAAATTCTATATCAAAAAAATGCAAACTTCCATAAGAAATCAGAAGTTTTGTTAGCTAATTCTTTTGGTTAGAGAACTTATGTGATTGGCATCAGCTTTCAAAAGGGTGTAAATTACAGTTTGCTACAAACAAATTAAGATGAGCAGTATACATGTGACAGCTGAGACAATGAGATTCTAGAGATATCAGCATTTTGTGTCAACCAGGATATGATGGCTATGAAACATGGACTCTGACATGATACTGATACAATAGGACATGAAATTATAGATATCTAATATGGTGAAATTTGAAAAAAGGAAAGAAATTGTTAAGGCACAGATATGACAATGAAATGTATTTTAAATAAATATATTGTGTTTCTGACCATCATAGACAATTCCTAGAAGTCAAGGAATACACAATAATATGATATGGAATTATAGATATCTAATATGGTGAAATTTGAGAAAAAGAAAGAAAATGTTAAGACATGGATATGACAATGAAATGTACTTTAAATAAATATAATGCGTTTCTGACCAGCATAGACAATTCCTATAAGTCAAAGAATACACGATAATAAAACATGAAGAACAACAACAAGCAGTTTGTGTGCATTTCTAATAACATAATGTTCTAAAATAAGGTGATTTAACTTATTAAAAACTAAGACAAATTCGTCTGATGCTCAACGAAAATAACTTCATCAAATCAATATATTGGTAAAAAATGCATCTTTAAACATCAAAAAAGGTTCTACCAATTAATACATACAAAGTATGCCACAAGTAGAATCTTTAAGCACTATTTTAAATCAAATATTTCAGGAACTTGTGAAATGCCTTAGTTATATCTCAGAAACAAAGAAGATAAGTTACTCACCAGAAAGACACAAGCAGAAGGAAAGCAGCTAGAAACAGAATCTGAGGACAAGCTGCAAAATAGTTTTTAACTTTTAACCAATTTAAAAACTAGCATCAGAGTTGAATGTACAGTAGAATTTGAAGAAGCCAACTGAAGTAACTTTTATTAAAATTGTGCTTACCCATGAGGATAAACCCACAGCCATGTGACCAACACTGCCATCCCTCACAAGTAGCAACAATAGTAAAAATAAAGTACACCAAGTAGCCTGCTATATGATTAACATATATCATTTAAGTGTGGCAAAATGAATCATTTTTATGAATAGTTGACAAAATATATTAGAACAAATAAAATAATAATATACTGGAACTATCATATGAAAATTATCAGAAGCTCCATAACATGTAGCAGAATAAGCAGGAGAACTTCAAATAGCAGGAAAAACACTTTTCATGGAAATAACCTTCACGCTCGAGACAATGGTTTGACTTCACACTTCAACAAAAAATGCATGCTGAGGTCTTCTACAAGTTGAAAGAAAATGACAAGGAATCATTTGGATTAAGACCTGTGGACAAAAAAAAAGCTGCTAGGTAATAAAGGTGCATATTAAGTGGACCAGCTTATGTGGCCACCATTTAGTTATGATGGCACAATTATCTTCCATTTGAACAAAAGGAATCTCAGTTTGGTACCAATACTGGTCGGTGGCCAAACTATCACACTGGCTAGACCACTACAACTAGAGGGGGAGAGAGAGAGAGAGAGAGAGAGAGAGAGAGGAAGAGGAGGAGGTATAAGAGAAGGCTCAACAAATGGAGCCTGGGAGGAGTGGAGCAGTATTAACAGAAGACGATGAAAAGGAAGAGAGGAAAAATGTAGGATACGGCAGGTACCAATACCAGATGATAGACTTACCACCAAATACAACTCAATACATATCAACTCACCATTTGATGAGCTCATTCCAGTAAGCTGACTGCACAATAAGCTTGTTTATGGATCAGACTGAGTCAAATTGTTTGGTCTGCATACTACTCAACTATCAGATCAGTAAAATCAGTTTTTAAAATCTTGATCCACATATCTTAAAGTGTTATTGTTGATATAAATTCTTCTTAACATGACAAAAGATTGTGCTAGAGTTCATTCTTCTTAACATGACAAAAGATTGTGCTAGAGTTCATACTATTGTTGATATAAATTCTTCTTACCGAAGAAAATTAAATGCTTCACTTCGCCAATTTTTTCCTGAACAACCTCAAATGGTCTTTTGATTTTAATTCAGTTTCACTTGACCATTGCTTGTAATAATTGGTGTTAGTTGCCGCCTAACACTATATTGGGCTTTAAGCTATGCTGCTACCATGTGTAAAGTAGTAAAACTTCTTCATAATCAAGAAAACTGTCATGTCTGGCAGGTGCAATCATCATTAATGCTAGCTTTTAATGGACCAAACAAGATACCCTAGATTATGGCTTTAATAGACGTCAGCTTATGATGTGTCACTTTATATAACAAGCAAAATCCATGCATCAGCAAATTGTGGTACCATCTAGTTTACCCCATGAGAAATCATATTTGAAGAAAAACACAGACAGATATATTTCCAACACTAGATTTATCACTGAATGTCAATTTTGTAGTTGTAAACAATGTACAAAAGGGAAAAAAGTCAATTAGACAAGCATTAATTGGTCATAACTTATTTTATGCTAAATCTCAAAAGTTCATCCAAGACCACTATAAAAAGTGCCAACATCAAAGAATCAGATTATGACATGGTTTTGTAAGTGTTACTAAGTAACTGATGTTATGCATACTGTTAATAGGTTGCAGAATCTTAACATTGAACCTAGAATTTGTGGTGTTTGAACAATGAGATCATGAGATTAAAGTTGAACAACAGTCAAATTCAAGATTACTTAGCGCCATAAGTAGATACTGTTCATATTTTAGGTGTCTCACCGATGTTGGATGAACCAATCATGAGATGGAATATCTGCAAGAAATTAGACATTCACAGAACTAATCAATGGCACAATTAAACAGGCTGAAACAAATAGCATAGCAATATGAAATGGATTTTGTTCAAACAAATCAAGGTCAGCAGACCTATGATCTAGACATTAAAAAAGATCTGTTAAAAAAACCAGAATCAAATTATTCTAGTGTTGGTGTACAATACTGTATGACATTGTTTAAATATGATGGTACACATTCTTAAAACTTAAAAGTAAGAACTTAGCCCTTCATATTCTCGAGTAATTAATATTGGGAGAACAGGAGACTAGATCTATATCAATTGGCATAGGAAATGCAGGAGAAGTAAATTACTCTTCAGGAGGAGAAAAAGCTAAGCCTAGCCCCCAAGAAGAGCTTGCACCTTGTGCCAAAAGTCCTACTAAGTAGAGATTTTTGATGTGACATGCATTCTTATTCTAGGTACAGAAATAAGAGCAATTAGGTGATAGAACAATCACAAGATTTATATTATAGGCAGCAACATTTCATGTTGAAGTTCTTGCACATCTGGAATAGGTGTAATCATGTAATTAATAAAGTGAAGAATCATTGTCCAGGGAAAAAAAATCCAACAGGATAGACACTGATTTAAGAAAATAACCTCCTTAAGCACACTTGGAGTAGTTGAAGGCCTCCATATACTGCATGATGCAAAATTCAGGATAACTAAAATAGTCCTAGAAGGTTATAAATAACTCCCAGATCATGATATGTGGCAGCTGTAACTTATTTAGCATATAGAGTTTTGCTTTTAGCAAAAAAGATCTACTTGACATTCAAAGCTTAAATGGAATAGTCAAGGGTGATAATTTTTTTTTCTGGAAAACTTGTTATTTGTAGATGATAAGTCATACAGATATAACTTAGAAGGTAAAAGTAGCAAGATGAAAAAAAGGACCAAGGTAATCGAAGAGGATAGTAAATTTATCAGAGACAAACCGAGTCATATATCATCTTGCTACAAAAGAATTGATATTTCTGTCCACTTTGAGACAAGCAGTCAAGCAAGGAGATTATGCTTTCCTTTCTTGCTTGATAACTACAATACACTAGTGACTACTTACCAGAAGTAATGGCTAAAAGCCTAATATATATCATTAACCAAGACAGAAGGTAGATAGCTAATTCCATACAAGATATAACATTATGTAAAGCTGGGCCAAGATATGGATTCGACTAACAGCAAGGTTGTCTATGCATGACAAAGATGATAGGTTTTGCCCGAGAACCTCAGAAGCACGACAAAGATGACAGGTTTTGCCTGAGAACCTCAAAGAGGTGATTGTATATGATCCAGTAAGTACATACTGAAACATATTGCTTGAGTTTGCTAATCTCTATTTGGCTGTGCTCTACTTCCAATTTACCTAAGGTGGACAGTAAAATGGATCTTACAAAATCAAGTGGCTAAATAAGCTTCATACTAAGAAAAGTTCTCCTGAAATCATGGTTTATTTAAAGCCTTATTTCACAACTGGTGAATAATGAAATATCAGAAAGGTGTGTGCAACCACCTGCATCACTGCATGAAGTAAGAACCAAACTAAAATTAAGTAGCAGCTAGACTGACTGACTGCACAGTAAATAATTTAAGCATCTCAAGGAAATATGACAAATACATAGGTTATATATTCATCGTTTGTATTTTAAAACTGATAATCAAAATAAGTATAAGAAATAATTAAAGCAGAACAAATAACATAATATTAAGATGCTACTTGCAGATGGATTTCATACTTAAACAAATAAAGAAGATAATGTATTTACACTGAACAACTCGAGGCTGTTTTCCGCATACCTTTTGGCGAGTCCAGCCAAGTTGTTGGTTGCGTAAGTGAATTCTCAACAACTGCCATTAAGAGAAAGCTAATCAATGTACAACATAACTCGATAAAAGTTGGTGTAAGAAGACTAAAATGAAAAAACATATGAAGACCCATACCCCAAAATCACATAGGAACATATTATTAGTTACAATCACCTCAAAGCTCACTAAGAGGAAAAACAGAGAGAAAAAATACTGAAATAGGCTGGATTTTAGCTGCAATCTCAGATAATGCACCACTCCAAGTTAACCATACAAGTAATGACAAAAACAAGCATTATCTTAACTATCTCCAGTTCCATAGATCCATAATTAAAATGGAAGAACCCCATCCTTTATGACTGCTAGCATTCAACTTTTTTCAATACAATAACTATAGGTCCTAGACACGCATGTTTCTCAAATGGTCACCATGTATCCTACCACCATTTTTATAATGTGCTCTAACAATATAGGGAAAAAAAGGGTAAATCAAACAAAAGGAAAAGAAAATTCCAAAACTTGTTATGGAACCTAGAGAAGATAAAATAAATTAAGGAAACTAAAACTGTTACAAGACCATTAGATACTACTACTTAACTCCTAGTTAGTTAATCATTAGGCATTCAGCAAAACATAATATCTAAAGATTTGAAATATGAAAGGACCACATTATAAATAAGAGCTAAATAGGTGCAAGATAAAATGAGCCAAAAAACTGGGAAGCAAGTGCAGGAGAAAAGTGAATTAATATCTCAAGGAAAAGATTAATAATATAAAGAAGCATTTAAGTATCAGTGACCCAACATGGAATAAAAATGGCTCTAGAACTTAATACGAAAGCCTTTGTCCCTTTAATGGTCTGCAACTCCACTTTCTGGTCACTTTGTCCCATTGCCCTTGCTTCCCATCTCATCATACCACCTCCCACACAGCCTAATCATCACCTTCATCACATCTTACTACCTAGATGACACATCAACTGCACTCTACAATCTCAGTCCTCGCACTCCAGTTCACTTCTCCTTGCACCACCTGACACCCTTTACCTCTAATTACCATTTCCACCATCATAAGCACCATCCACCACAATAAATCATATCTGCCCTTTCCTCCCCTCCCTTTCATGGAAAACCAGGTGCATAACAACCCATTGAAAACACACCTAGCATGAAGAAGAGTGGAATACCTCTCCAAATTTCTCCTCCTCTCTGTCTTCCTCTCCCCCATTTCTTCCCCTACAGTAGTATGCAATACAACTGGACTATGTGGTCAGGGTGCATGCACTGAAACGATGAGCCTATGCTATTGGTGAGCGATAGGGGTGCGTGTTGTTTGGCTCAACTAATTTTTCGAAGAATTTTCAGAACTAATCATTGAGTCAGTTTACAAATCATCAAGCATAACAAATGAAACCACAAAGGAAGAAAAAGAAACCCAAAATGTGTTTAGTTTCATTCTTCTTGTTAAAAAATTTACTATATAAATTAATATGATATAAGTTATATTATTATCATAATGATAAAAAAGATACTATATTATGTTAATATTTTTATATATCAAAAAGATGATTGAGCAATATTATATGAAGCATTTGAATTTATAAAGTAAAATTTATTTTGAAGATCAAATTGAAAAACTTGAATAATACATCAAGTTCACATAGTTCTAAAAATAAATAATTTTAAGAATTGCAAAGCGCTGAAAATTATAATTTTAATAAGACGGAATATCTTTAGCTACCAACAGATAATATAAGCTACAACGTATGGTTCTCGACCTATTATGGGCTCTTCAAGCATCAAGTCTACCGAGAATGGCGATGTCCACAAATGTCTTGATGTCTTAGAATGATGCCCATTTGGTCTATTGAACCATAACAAATTTATGACTGCAAACACAGCCCGCAATGCGTAAGAAAAGATAACTGTAATTGGCACTGCATATACCCAAGATTCCCAATCGATGCAAGATAAAGAACACCGGCGAGGCACATCAAGGATTCCATAAAGGAAATAGCTGGTCATTTGGAAATAGAGCGAGTTCTTTAAGCAAACAGCGAGAGCAGAAATGAGGGAAACGAACTCCAGGACCAAGGGGGACCAACCTGCAAGAAAGCGACGACCGCCAGGGCCCCGTCGACGACCGCCAGGGCGGCATCTGCCGCCACGACTTCGGTCGGCAGGCACCTGTGCCCCGCCCCACCCTCGGTCCGCATCCCCCTCGCCCGCTCCGGAAACGGATCGGTAGGGAAGATTTTTGCTCCCTCAACCTTATTGCCCAGATTCAAGAACTATCGCCGACTAGGGTTTGCACAGAGAGAGAGAGAGAGAGATTTGCCGGCGTCAAAACACAAGGTGGGGGAAGAAGGTGGCTGATGGAGGAGGAGAGCTATTGTCGTCGTCGGATGCGCTCAACGGCAATGCCATCGAAGCAATTTATGTTTTACTGGTTCCTCGATGACGTACCTGTAACGTAGTTGGAAGTTTAAGTGGGTCCGGAGTCTGTGGCCACGATGAGCCGTCAAGAATTGCTCGAAGAAACGCGGGTACCTCGTTGGGCGTGTTTCTTGGCGAAGGCTTTGGCCTCTTGACCCACCACAACGACAGCTGTCGGACGAGAAAACCGCTCCTGTCTCACGTGACGCGGCGCAGTTCTGCTTCCTTCGCGGTGTACTTTGGGTTCCTCTCACAGCCCTCTCCAAACGACGCCCTCCTCCTGACTCACCCGACTCGACTGGAGTCACAAGAAGGGTCCCAAGGCGGGCCCAGACCGCAGTCGAATAGAAAAGAAGGTTCCTCGCATAATGAGAGGAGACGGGGGCGGTGTTCTTAAACCCAGCACAAACCAAACGGAACGAAACACAACGAAATGAAATGAAATGAAATGACACGGTTTGGGCCGGGCAGGTAAATTAAGTGGCCCGTTCCGTGGCGATCCATCGACCTGTCTTCGGTGATTCGCCTCCATTCTTTCTCCATTTGCACATCAATCATGAATCAAGGAAACTGTTTGATGTACTCATTCATCCAATCAACGAGCGATGATATGTGTGATTGCAATATTAGTTAACTGATTTTTTGGGCAAGAAAAATGAAAATTGTAATTACTAAGATTAAGGGGATGAGTGCATGAATTGAAATGAGAAAGACAGAGTGGCACAGCGATGAGGGAGGAACAATTAGATTCTTGCAATCGAAAACAAATTATAAGGTATATAGTGGGATACTATTTATTAATAGGCATTCATGAACAATTAGATGCTACTTATACTCTTGTCATTATCATTGGCATGCTGGAGAACATTTAACTTGTTGGTAGCTACTCACCAACATTTTACTTGAACGGAAGGAAGAAGTCTTGGAATCATGCAAATGCCATCGTCAACTCTCCAGCTATATGACAAGCATAAGTCCAAATGATTGTTTCAAAGATGCCTTAATCTTTTTGTAAAGACAAGGTTAGGTGTCGGGACAATTGAAGGAGAGGATATCATCTCATTCTCTCTCGTCGGTAAAGAAGAAGACGTGTGCTTGGGTGATCAACACTGATGTGTCAAATAATGTCGGCATGTACAAATATCTCTAAGCTCAAAGTTCATAAGAGTTTTAGCTGGAGGGAGCACTGTTCATCAAATCTTGATACTAGAATAGTTAGCGGCAGCAGCTAGCAGAAGAAGATTGAATGAATCGAGCTTGTTTGTGGATGTTCTTCTTTGGAGCTGGTACTGTTCGTCGATGGAGGAACAAAACGTAGGGTCTTGGATTCGGAGGGGCGGGGGGGGGGGGGGGGTGACAGCAGCAGTTCACCGGAGATGTCGACTGTCATTTGTCAACGAGATGCCGCACGCCAGACCGCAGCTCATGCATGGTTGCCCAAAGCCCCAACAAAAGCTCCCTTCCCCCCTTCTCCGTCGATGGCGACGTCTCCCCCACCGATCACCCAATCCGACGACCACCACTTGGTCCCCAATCTCTCTCTCTCTCTCTCTCTGCAGCGAAGAGGGAGAAACAGTAGTCGTCGTCATCGAGCTCGAGCGACCGACTCATGTTTTCTACTGTAAAGTGTAGACACCATCGCACTCCTTTCTCGGATCCGACGCCGTGACGCCTCCAACCCCATGCCGTACGTCTCATAAGCTTATACACATATTCCCAATCCGCAATCGCAGTTTGATGTCATTAGGTACCCAAGGATGATAACAATAGCACTGCATCCTTTCCATGATTTCAGTGAATGAAACCAAACCATCTCTTGTGAAGAGAACCGAAGCTACAGAGACCAGTGCAACTCTTCAGCGAAGTCAAACCCAGGCAGAGCTGGAAGAGTGTTGGCAGTTGGCAGGGAATTAAGGATGTTCTAATGTAAATAGTTACTGGTGCACATGCAAACAGATCATTGTGCGGTCTACGAGAGGACTTGGATTTGACACATCCATCCTCGCAGAAGAAGCTCCACAGATCTTTCTCTTTCTCGCAGCTGCACTCAAAAGCGTATCAGAAGCTCTACCGGATACAACGACTCCGTTCCTACCCCTCTCTTTCTGTGCGAGCTAAATGAGCAGCATGCGGCAGAAAAGAGCACGACCTTGTGATTGATTTCAGCACACTTAAGACGATGCTGACAACTTATTGCAGCCACATCTCGAAGACCTGTAGACATGAAGAGAGCACGACGCGAAGGGAAGCCATGGCGGAGGAACTCATTGCATGAGGTGGGGAGAGAGCAGCCACATCTCGGTCACCGATCGGGTTGGTGTGCTGTCGCGATCCGGACGGACTAAACTAGATCATGTGTCGCCATTGGGAGTGGACCCCACGCCCCACATGGCTCCACTTTTTACGGCTTTTCGGAGCCGGTATCGAAGTGGGCTACTCTGAGCTGACCTGTGGAGCCATCGGTTCCTCCAATCACGAGAGCGGTGGGAGAGTGGGCGCTGCGTTAAAGGGTAGGCGAAGTGGTCTAGGAACCTAAAGGCACTGCGGTCGGGCGCACACCGTAGAGGAACGCGTCCGCGGTGTGGCCGCACTCTTCGACGTCGGAGCGAGATCGAACGGTTCGGGGCTCATCGTCAACGATTCTTGCGTCCTGAAAACGTCCACTTATCTATGTGCACCAAAACAAAAGAAGGAAGGCAAAAGCCACACTCTTCCTTCCACTGACTGCCTTCTCTCCCTATGTCCGGAGACGAGGCCGACCACTATGGCCGCCGCCATGATCACTTCCCTTTCCACGGTGAACCGTCGTCGGTGTCGCCGCAGAAGCCGGGCAGCAGCAGCAGCGGTGCAGCCAACAGTCTGCAGGTTTCCGACCTCAAAACGCTATCGCCGTTCCTGAGCTTCACCGACTACCTCCACGACTCGCCGGTGGACTTCCACAATCTGGTTCCGGCCTTCGATGACCCGAGCCCTAGGTCACACCTGCTCGGCGGTGCACATGAGCCGTGTGAATTGTTGGCGGGCGGCGACGGCACGGCTCCGGTGACTCCCAACTCCTCGATGACTTCGTCGTCGACGGAAGCGGCAGGGGAAGAAGACTTGGGTGCCCGCAAGACGGATCGGCCGAAGCAGGAGGAGGGAGAGGAGAAGCAGGCAGCAGGGGGTGAAGAAGGGCGTGACAAGTTCAAGAAAGTGTAGGTTTTGATCGGTTCTGTGCATGTTTTGCTTGCTCTCCTTTCTCTGTTCTTGATTGGTGGCAGTCAATTATGATAGGCGGCTTAGAAATGAGTAGTTTATATGCTAATTGCTTTTGCCTTTTGGACTTGTTGTTCTACTGGGATAAGAACACTTGTCTAGCGTCTAGGGTTTCTCTCCTCCACTAGCAGAACAAATCACGGTTTGTAGGGTTTCCCTATTCCCTTTGATCTGCTTATGATCTGCCATGGTGCAATTTAGGATGAGAGATGCACGGGTCTCCGGAACCAGAGCTGAAAGAGGTGGTAGTGTGAACTGTGATGTGATCTTTTGATGTGGAACAGGAACAAGCCAAGGAAGAAAGGCGAGAGAAGGCAGAGGGAGCCACGGATTGCATTCATGACCAAGAGCGAGGTTGATCATCTCGAAGACGGATATCGATGGAGGAAGTACGGGCAGAAGGCAGTCAAGAACAGCCCATATCCCAGGTCAGTACGTATACTGCGCCAGCTTCCAGCTTCCCATTACACCATCTCCTTTGCTAACACATCAGCCGCAGAAGCTACTACCGGTGCACGGCGCCCAAGTGCAACGTGAAGAAGAGAGTGGAGAGATCGTATCAGGATTCGTCGGTCGTGGTCACCACCTACGAAGGGCAGCACACTCATCACAGCCCAGTCAATCTTCGCTTAGCGCCATCTCCACCGACGACGAGCTTTCGCGGCGACCTGCTGTCGCATCAGCCGTCCCCCGTGAACAGTAACATTAACCAGCAAGCCGAAGGCCATGGTCTCTTGCAAGACATCGTCCCTACTCTCGTCCACAGCAAGCAGCGACAGTAACATACTGCTTTACTCCCTCATGCTGCTTGTGTGTGTTCATAAGATGGGTATGAATCGACGATGTAGAAACAGGGAAACTCTAATCGATTCTGGGCTCACTCTATGTTTAGCCTCCGTGTAAGGACACTAATGATTCAGAGAAGCAGGCTGGGAGATCAGAGTGAGTGACATGGCTTTTCTGCGTGAGGAATCCAAGCTTTTGGTACGGCTACATTAAATGCTTGGCCATGGTTGGTCTTGTTCTTGTTTGGTAGCTGGAGTTTATGGTGAAAGCGTCAGTTGTTTACGAAGGGGAATTTGGAGTCATGAATGCTATTGGCTCCATTTCTTCTTCATGATTGCAGATGACAACAGCCAGAACTCGTACACATTATTACATTTTGCTTATCGAATCTTAAAGGTGAGAAGACGGTCTCTCTCTCTCTCTCTCTCTCTCTCTCTCGTGACTCATTTTGTTACTCTCCAAGGACATGAACATTATCTTATCATAAAAGTTATAGATCAAAAATGATACAAATGGACTAAAAGTGCAAGTAAAATGCATCACATGTATCAGAACTAATCATCCTTCTTGAAATGAGGTAGAATTTACGAGGAAGGAAGGGCTTATGCTGACTTTTATATAGGTTTAGGCGATTGACTTGTATCAGGAGTAAAGTTTGTTTTACTGGTATGAAACAATGTATCGATTAATCGATGATATAATATATATGATCTTATATCGATGTATCGTGTGTCAGCATGATAGAATGTGTCAATAGTATAAATTAACTTAAAATATTTTAAAAAATAAATTAAAAAATAAATTAAAAATAAATATAAATTTAGTAAAAATAATTTAAATTAGAACAGAATAGTATCACATATATTTTGATTAGAGAATCAAAAATATGATTATTCATCTAAAATATGATCAAAAATTGAGAAAAAATATATATCTTTGATTATAGAGTTGTTCATTTGATTGAGTGTTAATCCTCCTTAATTAATCTTTTAAGTTTAATCCAATCCATAAATCATAATTTTGTAAAGTTCAAAAGAGTACAAATGAGAGAAATATGTGAGTGGGGAAAGTGAATGAGAGTAGAAAAGTTAGAGAGAGTGCAAGAGAAGAGAACTAGAGAATAGAAAAGGCTTAAAAACCCCTTTTACTAGTTCAAACGGTCTAATGGATCGTTTAAATCAAATCATTTTTTGCCCTTGATCAATATTAGTTGAAATATGATAGTATATGATCGTTACCGATCGATATAAGTTGATAACGATCGAATTTTGATCGTTTTTATCATTGGAGACTTCATATTAGGTGATACAGGATGGATCATATAACGTAGACTTCATATCGTCTAATAATATTATATCATAGCATGGGAGACCTTGGTCAGGGGCATTTCTTTTGTTCTTGATGGATTTGGTGGCATGTGAAGGGAGTTTGTTTGCAAGGATTCTCTGAAGGCTGGCTATAAGTGAAGCACAAGAGTAGGGATGGCTGCCAATTTCTTCAAAGTCAATAGGAAGATGCATATGTGCATGTGTAATGTGATGCAAGTTTCACCCATTAACATCTTTGAGGTTGCTATATGCTCCATTTGTTGTTAAGTGTCCATCAGTCTACCAAATAAATATAAATTAGACTGACTGTTAAATCTATGCATACAAGAAGTAACACAATGCACTTAAAATAAGCATATCACTGTAACATACACTGATATAATTAGCTAAAATGATGCATGAACATTACCAAGGATACATGAACAAGTTTTTTTATTATTATTATTATTATTATTATTATTATTATTATTATTATTATTATTATTATATATATATATATATATATATATATATATATATATATATATATATATATAAGAAAAAGCCAAGTCATATCAAACCAGTATTTTATGGGATATGGAGACTGCTCATGCATATAACATAATTCAGGTATGACCATATCCTTATCCTTCTCAAATGAACTGATCTATATCCCCTACTAAATAGGGGGTTTACATGATGGTTGGATGTGTAGCTAAAATAATAGTTGATATGACCTAATCAATAGCTCAAGTCACACACTCCCATGATTCATCATCTCTTCAAAAAATTCACTTTAATTATTTGTAGCATAAAGGAATACAATACTTGGGACACAACATCATCTCATAATTCATGGAGTCGAAAAACACAAGTTAAATTTCACAATAATAGATTCCTAGATGATTTAAGAAGTTGCTTGTGCCACTAATTTACCAGATATTGATATTATTAATATGAACGCTCGATCAAGTTCATCTCCTGCCGAAGTAAAATCAGCTGCTAAAAGGTTTTTGGCATATAAATTCATCATCTGTGATTAGCTCAATAAATTTCTCAGTGTGTATTAACACATCATAAATTAAACAATCACTTTGGGAAAATAATCAATTGCTACCCAAAGGTTAAGCAATAGGCATTATTACAATAGACTGAAAACTTGGACATATGATACTCACTTGGATGTCCTGCTGCCCTTATAAAGGAAAAGTGACATGGTGAGAGATAATGTTTTATTTCCCCCTTGCGCAGAATTGCAAAAGGGTATATGGTGTTGTAGCTCAAAGTAAGAAGAAAACATCCATGAAAAGTTGGCACACTGGAAATGCCCACCAAAGAGATTACTGATTCAATACCTGTACTTTAAACACTGATAAGTAATTACACTTGGTGGAACAAAAAGAAGAAAAGGCATGACAACGTTTATTCCGAAAGTTTGAGAATTATGTTGGCTTAGTTGTTCACTTTGTAGCAGCATCAGCTTGGAGAGACTGTAGAAGCTCGACAACTGCAGCTCTGTCAGGCATGCTTGGGATGGCCCCCTTAACTTGAACACAGAGTGAAGCTGCGGCAGCTGCAGCATAACGATCAAGGAGTTTTATTAGTTACCTAGGATGACATGAGAACCATGCAATAGGAGTTTTGTTTCTCTGTACCGGCAAATTTCAAGCATTCTTTCATGGGCTTGCACTCAACAAGAGCCACAGCAAATGCAGCAGTGAAGGTATCACCGGCTCCCGTGGTATCAAGAACTTCTGAAGCAGGTATGATGGGTTGTACGATTGGATCTTCCCCTTCAATAAATAGAGCTGAACCTTTTGCCCCAAGTTTCACTAGGACTTTCTTGACGGCCTGATACAAAAAAGTGGCAGCATTACCATCTAATGCTTCATGAGATTTAATGTCTGGGCATCTCTCTAATAAAATCATTCTTCAATTGCCTATATGCTGTTTGTTAAGTAACATAGTATTGCTGATATGCTCTTGATGGCAGCTAGATGCCAAATCAACTTGATATGTGGAGATTGCATGTTTTGGAATACTAAAGATTGCAGGAACAATTATCGACAAGATTAGATCTATACTAAACTAACAGTCCTTGAATTTGATTTTAGGACCTGCATTGATCTGTATCAAATATCAGAAGGTACAGTCCTGAGTATTCACATTATCAGTGAACCTCAAAATACAACAAATGCAGGAATTAAAAGAACAACCATCACAGGACCTTTCAGAAAGGTCTTGTGTTTGTTACATCAATTGTGTTTTATAAAAGCATCAACTTTTAAAATAAGATTTTTCTGAAAACATCATGGTAAGCATCATCCTAAAAAGAAGTCAGACTCGTTGGTTTAATAGTTCATCTTGGACCCATATTTTGAAAAATATAAGTCCCATGATCTAATACCTATACATAGTATTCAACATTTGTCCATCTCATATAACTTCCTATGACGAAAAGGAAAAAGAAAAGATAGGATATAATGCATTTTAAAATATGCTATCATTAAAAAATTAAAAAACAAAGCAAAGTAATATACTCTCGATTCATTGATAAAGGGACAATTCCAAGTTTCAGGACACTTTTAAGTGTTTCTTCGAGAAGCAACAAAAAGCAAAAAAGGGGTGAATGAAGTTATTGCTAAGACATTGATCTCACCTTCTCATGGATTCTTTTTGCAGCATGGCTGATCTGTTCAAAAGTCTCTGTTGGCATTCCTGTCAAACGTGCTAACTCTGTTTCATTTGGGCTGAAAATATCCACAAGCTTTATGAGTTCATCAGGAACAGGACCTTCCTTCCCTCCAGCATCTAGAATAACAGGAACTCCTGCACCTTTTGCAGCCTGAAGATGACAAGGATTCAACTTAATGCCAAAACATGGACAGGCATTATAAAGGAAGGCAGGAAACAACACAAAACATGTGTTGTAGCCGATAATTATCCACGCAAGCAATCAGCACACATGAAGCAAAAACGTACATCAACATAGTATTAGATATCAAGCCCTAAGAAACACTTTCAAGCATGTGAGCTCAAGAACAAGTCAACAAACCAGATCAGACCGCTTGAAGTCAAGAAAAAAGACTTGGTAATTTGAAATTCAATGGTGCAGGATCAAAGTAAAACAGAACCACACAGTTTTCATCCATCTTAACATCAATGCTCAACATCAATCAAGAAAAAAAGTATTAAAGAAGAGAATCCTGTTTCTGAACTTAGAGATAATAATATGATAAACTAAAGTTACTCTAGGGCATAAATTTCCAAGTTTTATTTCTATTAACAACACAAACAAAGATAAAAATCAATTTTTTTCACATCCAACAGCATTTATAACATCCTAGAGAAATAGTAGAAGTATTCTATCTTCATCCAAAAGTGAGAGATAGATTAATATTATCAGTGATAGAGAGATTAACGTCGACCAATCGTCATCCGACACGTGGCCTCCGTGTGACATCCAGGCTGGAAGAAGGAGACAAGTTGGCCCCACTGATCTGCCCACGTGGACAAGGGTCCAAGACAAGTAATTGCAAGTTGTCTCCCCCCTTGTCGCCCACATGGAGAAAAGGCCAATGGGAGATTGTTAGTGGCGATTGAGGATTGCCTCCTTGTAGAATATTCCACAAAATATTCACCCATTTACGACTAGGTATAAAGGCACATTTTAGCATAGTTGCAAGGGGTCATTTTTCACCACTCGCATCAACATGCACCTACCTCGGGTTACTAACTTGGGTGTCGAAGGAATCGAGTCGGGAAACCTCTCTCGACCTCGTTAGTCTTCGTGCAAGTTGTAGAGGTCGGGTGCCCCACCCCCTTCGTTGATAAGGCTTGAAGGTCGAGCGCCATGAGCCCCTTGCCACAGATGTGTGGAGGTCGGGTGCTCTGACCCCTCCTCGATACCAAGGCATGGAGGTCGAGGGCCCCGATCCCCCTCGCTCCTCCATTTTCTTGCCCTCTAGCTAGAGCAGATGCAGTCACCCCTATAGTTCTTGCAACTCGTCTATGAAGGACTCGCTAGCCACCGTGGAAGACTTGGGCTTAGAAGGGGCTTTCTTAGAGTTCTTCGACAAGA